ACACACCTGGGGAGACATTAAACCAGCAGGTTAGCCGTTGACCAATAGCTTCTCTTGAATAGCAGCACTACTGCATTACCTTTGTGCAGTAAATTTCAGAGTTAAATATAAAATCAGAAATCGGAAGGATTAAGAAAAGCGTGTGCTTTTAGCAAGAGGAGGGATTATTAAATGCACGCAGCACAGAAATTCCGTAGCTCAACAAAGTTTGTGTAAGCATGGAGAGCTGGAAGATGACTAGTGGTTCTACTGGTTTCTGTGTGTCTCAGTTTCTGTTCTGAGAACCCCTTTCGCATTTGCCTGTGTGCAAAGAGGCCCCTGAAGGTTGCTGAAGAAAGGGAAAGTGTCCTTTTCTACTCTGGAAGCACAAAACTAATTCTAATACACTTTTTTTTTTTTAATAAACATGTTCTTTAGTGCCTCAGTATACCTTGGTATAAAATTAAGCAAAATGTTCTGGGTTTCTAGAATAAGAAAAGGCTAAGGGACTTCTTCGCTTTTTGAGTAGACAGTTTTCTCTTCTAGCTAAGATGCTGTAAAACTCTGTGATATATGAAAGTGTAGAGCTATTGACATCCCTACATTTCATACATTTATGAAATTCATCAAACAAAATCAGACCTCAATTTCTGCACTTGAGAAGAAATCTCAGTGCAGATCCTTGAGTGAAATCTCAATGCTTGACTGCAACTTCTGAATGGCATTTCTTTGTCATACTGTATTTTATTCAGGCTTTGCCAAAAGGTTGTTGTTAGAATTATATTTGTACTGAGAATTGCAGCCAATGTACACTGGCCCTAAATCACCTCTTTCACAAATTAAGCTCTTTCAGAAGTATCCGTATACTTTCAAAGTAATTCCTTAGAAAGTTCTTACCCCCTTTTGATCAATTCATAGGTCGTCGTTCTAAAATCACTGGGATCCGGTGATGCCACGCAGGTGTCCACAAACACTATCAGATTTTGGTCAGAGCTGTGAAGAGATGCTTGGAGGAACAAATTCTGATTCCGGTCAACGTAGTATGGGAAGTTCTGCACCGGTCACAGGAAAGATGAGGAATTGTAGAATGCCAGGTCCACGTTGTATCTGCCATACTGGGTTTCATTGACATCAGCGATGTCATTGGCCGTGTACACTACTTGCACCCAGGTGTTCTGGATCATTTTGCAGCTGACATGGAGGTGAAGGTCCTTCTGCCTTTTGATGGTGTAACCAGGAGCAGACACTTTTATCACGTTGGAGTAGGTGATGGTTTCGCTGTCGCCCTATTTGACACATTAAATGAGTACAAAATTACCACGTGTAGTCATGTTCACTGTGTGTACCAGGTGTGTGCTATAAATTTCTTTATTTGCCAGGTCTTAGTATTAGTCAGAAAGAACATGTCATACTCAAAAATACCTAAGCATCTGCATGGGGTTGCTCACTTAACTCTTCCCTCTACTCTTGTTCTCTAAAACATCACTCTGAAATAGACACAGGGATTTCCTAAACCCTGGAAAGGATAAATAGGAATATTTAACAAACTTTAGCCTCCAGAAACATGTGATTATTTTCTGTGTTTTGAATACCTGTGGCCTACTACACCCTTTGCAATACAAGACAATTTTCTAAATGTCTATTAAATTTCCATGCCAAATGTGTTGACACCAACCTGTCTCTGCGTGCCACAGCCATTGTATGGAATGTTGAATATAACCATCGTTGATGTGATTGTTGGTCTACAGTTGGAGTCAGGCAAGCTGATGCTCCTCACTGAGTAGCCCTGTAACTGGAGATAGTGTCTGTCCACAACTGCGCGCATGGAGGTTGGATAGCACGCAAGGGCTAGGGAAGAAAATATGATTATACAGGAGTGGTAAAGCTTCTGTTCACTGGATAATTTGTGCTGCTCTGGAAGTAGCACTAGGGGCAAAAATCCAGCCAAAACCAGCAT